TGCTGTATTTTTGCTCAAACAAATGCAGCCTTGGTGAGCATAAAATACTTCTTAAATAAACTATTAAACATTTTTTACTTAATTCAAACTTTTGAACAATACTGTATAAAGTCAAAGACATGATAGGCTAAACATAATTTTTACCCTATATTTGAATATTGTGATATTAAGTGTTATTTTTGGAGACTTCAGGTTGCAGTGCATTTCTTTTCATATATTTTTACCACATTCTTCAAAGCATGCATAAAAAAACACATTGGTGTAAGCAACTATTTCTTTGAGGAATGACACGTATCTTAGTTATCTTTGACTTTATTAAGCTAAAACTAAAGTATACCCTTTTATAGCTTTGAAAAATAGTGTATACAAAGCTAAGTACCCACAAAACATCTGCATAGTATAACACACACAAGTAAATACCATAAAATGGTCTTTCTTGATGCAAACAGCTCAATATGTCTCACACGAACACATCTGTGTCCATTAAATTTTTACACTCCCCAAACTCATCCGCCAAACATCTGCTGGGAGATATGTGCAGTTTATGGGCAAGTTACGATCCAGAAATATGCTCTAAATAGAGATAACAAGGCCTGGATGCCCAGCGTGACATTCGTGAAATAAAACAACAAAGCAGGAGTAAAGTTAGTCTAATTTAACTACATTCATAAAATGATAATGTGGTGCCATTATCATTAAGAGTATGAAAGTTACTACCTGGATATAATCTAAAGAATGTGATGTAGCCTAATGATGGCACACCTGCACAGATTTGATGACCAGAACCTCTTCAGTTGGCAGACCCTCACTGCACTAAATGTGATCGAGGAACGTAAACAGAGAAATTTGGAGGTGCTTTAAGAAGATCACTTGAGGTGGGGTTTCACGGTCCTCTGCAGCTGAGGTAATCTTTTATGAATCAATAAAGCATTTATGACTCAATATGCATTACAGATTTGGATTGAAGGACTCTTAAAGGATGCTAAAGACACAGTAGGATCAAGTGTAATAGCTTGCTATGCATTTATGAACTATTTTTGACACATACTGCTAACTTACCATTGATTACCTACCATCAACGGAGTTTGTCTAACATTATCTATCCACTAAGATAGCAGTTTTCAACCAAGAGGCCTCAGCACACACACAACCGCTTAGCACACATCTTTTTCTTGGAGAGAACCTTTTATTCTTTCCCTGAGAAGGCAGGAATTGCAAGTTGGCACCTTTCAGATCCAGCATTTTGATTGGCCGATGCTAATGAGGTCTATTTGCATATAAAGTCCACATTTGCAACAATGTCTTTAATGTTTTCCCTATATGCATAATTCACCTTCCAAACCAATTCCAGATTAGCCTACACATTGTGCTGAAAATATGAAGACCAAACACCAATGGCTAATGCTGAGAATTGACTTCTGCATTCATAAGTGCAGTATATACCTAATGTTGCATACCCTCACTCTTAAAAATAAAAGGTGCTTAAAAGGTTCTTCACAGCAGTACCATTGAAGAACCATATTTGGTTCTACAAAGCACCATTTAGTCGAAGGATCTTTAAAGAATCATCTCTTTCTTACCTTTTTTATAATCTGAAAAACCTTTTTCGCCATAAAGGACCTTTTGTGAAACAGAAACGTCCTTCAGATGTTAAAGGTTCATTGAAAGGGTAGGTCTCAAGAGTGAAGAACTTTATTCAGAGAAAGACCACATGGTGATTGGACCCATCTATGAAATGCTGACGTCCTTATCCTTCCACAAATGATCAATTTGAGGGAGAATAAAGCAGTTCCTGCATGGGGGTTACTGTGTGTTAGTGTTAACCCCTCTCTCCACAAGAGGTCTTAAAACAAATGGCATCCTTTGTTGTTCACGGAGCCTAATAACATCAGAATATATCTTTCCACACGTTGTATGGAAAGGAGTCTTGCCATCTTGACCGCTGTTCACTACACTAAGTAGCTTTGGATAAAAGTGTCTGCCAAATGCATACATGAAAATGTAATTATCTTAGACTACAGACAGTGGCCCTTCGAATATTGGACAATAGCGGAGCCTTATATGTTCACTGCCACAAAGAGAAAAACTTTCACACACTGAAAAAATACATTACATTATTGGTTTTGTATTGCTTTTTGCCTTCTTCTCTCGAAACTCTATAGTTTTTTTTAGAAAATTCAGGAAATGTTCCATTCTTTTTAGCGTTGATTTTAGGCTATAAAACACAGGTGGCGGTGTTTTATCCTGTTGGTAATTAATATAAAATAAACGCTAAAAAGAAGACTATTTTGTGAGTGCGGATCATGGTCTCATAGGCTACTATGAAAAATAATGTTTAATAAACACAATACTGTGCATCCCGCAATGTGGTTGAATCTGCCAGTGGGGGCGGGGCCACAAGTTCACATTTAGTCTTCTTTTTAGCGCTAAAAAGAAGAATAAAAAATTTCCTGAATAAAAACGATAGAGTTTCGAGAGAAGAAGGCAAAAAGCAATACAAAACCAATAATGTACCGGTTATGTTGTGAATGAATGAAATATGTTAAGAATGAATAGTACACAAACACAGCTCCAAAACTGTAAAAGGTTATTTAAAAATAAAGCATTCATGAATTATTTTATGACAAACATTTTAATGTCTTAAGTGCACTCATTTATTTAGCCTATAAATTAAAATAATAATAATAATAACTATTATTATTATTATACATTTAGGTTACATATGCATTAAGAAGAAGGTTTTATCCAAAACGACTTACAAAAGAGGAACAAATGACTCCAAAGTCAGTCACAATGCCAGGTTTATTATACAATAATAATCAAGTGCTATATTATCACAAAGATTTTGATACACATCTTTCTTATTAAATCGTTGTATTCCACCTCCTACCGTTACAATTGATAGAGAATCACTTATTGCTGTAGGCCTATTCCGCATAATAATATGCAATAAAACAATATACAATATGATTTGTTAACATGTAGGCTACCTAGGAGCGTGCTGCATGAATCTGTGAGTACAGTTTACAAACCCGAGGGAACGGATTGCGAAAGCGTGCGCACGGATTATGAATTTGTGGGTACGGATTCAAAATCCGAAGGTACGGTTTACAAATTCTGAGCGCACAGATTGGAAATTCGTGGGTATGGTTTATTAATCCGTGGGCACGATTTGTTAAACCGAGGGAACAGTTTAAGAATTCGTGAGTACGGTTTATAAACTGAGGGGACGGATTGCAAAACCGTCGCCACGGATTGTTTTTTTTTCTCCTACAGGTGACTTCTCGGGCTCCGTAATTTTCTGATCTGTTGCATCAACAATATTTTTTGAAAAATCCTGAGGTACTTCGTCTTCTAGCAGTTGCACAATAAACCCGAACGATAGGACATCTCACTATCTTCAGCTGCTGCACTGGAATATTTCTCACACTAGAGGGAACCATTTGCATACATGTTACAAGTGTCTCTGGCGGTCAACTTTTTTGAAGGGACTAATGCACATTTTCTGAGTTTGAAAATAATTCTGGTGCGTTTGCTTCTCTGAATTCTCTGAATAGATGAAGTGAACTAAGGAGCAGTGCTTCCATGACAATGTATAAAGTCCAACAGTTTCACCAACCTGGCATATGTTTTCTTCAACTTAAAAGATTAAACAGCAGATCTCTTAGATTTTGCAGCTGCTTCCACGAAAGCTGAACTCTAGAGCTTCACCATGAAGAGTGGCCTGGCCCTTGACTTTTTTTGGGTGGCTTCTTCTCTCGGAAGCAACCAAATCTAACGGTATGTTTTGACCTCCATCTCCAGTGCACCAACGGTGTCCTGGCTTGACTTTATACTCATTGCATTTCTCATTCAATTTCTGTTCCAGGTCATCACTGGTCTCTTGAGAGAACTGATACTGTTCATCAACTGTCTAGTGCTACTTTATAATGGCACTTTGGCCAAAACAGACACTGATGTAGTATAGTCCTACAAATGTGTTAATACCTTTCTGTGCCCTTGATAAAGACACTAGCCTGATACTTCACTTTAGCACCTCTGCAGTGTAGGGAAATTTGAATATGGTGGTTCCGTTATCTCACTTTGATTTATGGAATTGTAATATACCAATACTAAACCAATACTAAATATACCCAGGACCTGGATAAAAAAATAAAAGTATTGCCAAATTGTTTTATTTTACTTTATTTTATTTTTTTGCAGGATGAAATGTAAAGACACTTCGAATCAACACACAAAACAAAGTTTAAACATTGTACATCATACAATATGTAAAAGAGGTAGTAACAAAGTTGGGAAAGGATTACAAATACAAAATTCTATAAAATATCTTTAAAAGTCTGTCTCAGAGTGTTAGTGTAAGATAAGTACATTTGATATAGCAATGATTGGATTAGCTATGTGTGCTATCATGTTGTCAGAAACCAGGTCTGGTTAAGATAATTAATTAGTTTATGGGTTTGAGTTTCTTTTTCTTGCATTTTTTTTAAAACCACACGCCTTTAAGGCTGCATTTAATCATAACTAATAGGCTATCTTGGTTAAGCCATAAGAAGATCTAGATATCATCTTGCAAGAATGAATGAACAATACAAACTATTTGCCAAGAAAATGAACATTATTTTACACCACATTTAACATCTCGTGAAGCACTCTCTCTCACACACATATGAATGCTTCTTTTATTTGGGTTTGCTGACAGTTGAAATATTGTGAAACATAATGTTCTTAAACTCCCGTTAAAACAGCCTGGAATACTGTGACTTTACTTCGCTGGGACAAACTTCTTTATCGCTCTATCAAGAAGAGCAAGACCAACGCCAAAGGACTATTCGTACGCAAATGTTCCCTCGCCGAAGCTGAAGGCGTGCCTCCACTGCTGGAACCCTGGCCAATGATGAAGCCGCCTGGCCCTTCAATCACCTGAGAACAAACAGATCACGCTTCTCGCTGACCAGTCACACGCGCCGGGATCCTGCCACGCGCATATAAATCAGGCTGACAGCCCAAACTCTTGGTCAGAGAATGAGAGAACACCAAACACAGATTAATCAGTCAGACAACTGGACCTGCCAGTCCGATATCATACATTTTAATTTCTGTTGGTATCCAGGTACGTAACTTGTTTTATTTATCAGAATGTCTGCGCGCGTATGTATGTATGTGTGTGTGCGTGCGTGCGTGCGTGCGTGTGTTAATATGGAATTATGCAACTGCATTCTTTTGTTGTTAGTGGGTTAATTTTAAACAAAAATTGACTTGTTGTTTTATGAAATCACTGTTGTTTATCAATACTTCACGCTGTGATGTAACGCTGCCGCGCTGTAACCATGGCTACCGGTTGCTATCTATCTGTGTAGCTGGGGATGCGCGAGCTATGCTTGCAGCTACTTTGACGTGTTTGTAAAGCAGAGATGATGCTTTTTGCTTTGACCTACTGATTTGTGCGATCAATACTGATAGCGGGTTTCCATACTGATCGAACAACCCTTTCACAAGTGAATGCGAAGAGAATTCCCAATGCAGATTACAACGCACGTGGTGTGGTCTCTCCCAACACCTTTTAAACCCGATCTGTAAGGCTCAAGTACCTCTTCGTTGACACAAACCAGCAGTTTTATCTTAGTTGACTGATTTGATGTTTTAATATGCCATACTAAATCACTGGTTGGACGTTTTTATTATTATTTGTAGTAGGTGTTTGATGAAATTAGCATGTTTGTTTGTGCTCTGTCTTCTATCCTAACTATTGGTCCTTGTGCTGAATGTATGTTTTGATGCGTATGCAAGTGGCTTCATGTTTTACTTTGTAATGTTGACAAATCTGTTTTTCTCCTGTTTAGGGGTTTTATAGCAATAAAAATGGCCACGTCTGCCAGTGCTCAGTTGAGTAAAGTGGTAAAACGGCAGTATATGGAACTGCCTCAGGGAGACAAAGTACAAGCAATGTATATCTGGATAGACGGAACAGGAGAAGGTGTGCGATGCAAGACCAGGACACTGGACTCTGAGCCTAAAAGCATTGAAGGTAAGCTAGACAAAGCCACATCAATCTGCATTGCAATTATATTTCCATTTAAGTTCTAATGGATCCCATTTCGTTATTCAGATCTTCCTGAGTGGAACTTTGATGGTTCCAGCACATATCAGTCTGAAGGCTCCAACAGCGACATGTATCTCATCCCCTCTGCAATGTTCAGGGATCCTTTCCGCAAAGACCCCAACAAATTGGTCTTGTGTGAGGTGCTCAAGTACAACCAGAAACCTGCTGGTATGTTTGTTTGAGGATAAACATCGTCTATGTATGTTTGCTTGAAGACTTATAGCTTTTCTGGTCTTAAACACAGAAACCAACCATCGTCACAAATGTAAAAAGATCATGGAAATGGTAGATCATCAGAGCCCTTGGTTTGGCATGGAACAGGAGTACACCATCCTGGGTACCGATGGGCATCCCTTTGGTTGGCCCTCCAATGGGTTCCCTGGACCCCAAGGTAAGAATGGTCCCTTTACCGTCATAAACTGGCCATATCAATGATGTTCTCAAGATGTCTGGTCCATAACATGCTGCTCTGATATCTGCAGGACCTTATTACTGTGGAGTTGGAGCAGATAAAGCTTATGGCAGAGACATTGTGGAGGCGCATTACAGAGCCTGCCTTTATGCTGGTGTGATGATCTGTGGAACCAATGCTGAAGTTATGCCAGCTCAGGTAACCTTCATTCCAGTGTGTTCTGGAACAAACACTACAGTCCGCTATTAAGAGTATTAAGCCATCTAAGATTACCCTTTTGGAATGTGACCCCAATTCCTCCGTTATTTCTTGATTGGTTATAACGTGGCTTTTATTTTCCAGTGGGAGTTCCAGATTGGCCCCTGTGAAGGCATCAACATGGGAGATCACTTGTGGGTAGCTCGTTTCATCTTGCACAGAGTTTGTGAAGATTTCGGTGTGGTAGCCTCATTTGATCCTAAGCCAATCCCAGGCAACTGGAATGGTGCTGGTTGCCACACTAACTTTAGCACCAAGGAAATGCGGGAAGATGGTGGGCTGAAGTAAGTATTATAATGTTGTTGTTGTTAATTGGTGACCAATAAAAATCATAAATCCCTGGCTTGCTTTTGTTCATGTTGGGTTTTTTTTTTTTAAACTAGAGTATTAAATTATTGTTTTGTATATCCTTAACTAGATGCATTGAGGAGTGTATTGATAAGCTTGGAAAAAGGCACAACTACCACATCCGTGCCTATGATCCAAAGGGAGGCCTGGACAATGCTCGCAGACTGACTGGCCACCATGAAACCTCCAACATCCATGAGTTCTCTGCAGGTGTGGCGAATCGTGGCGCTAGCATCCGCATCCCACGAACCGTGGGACAAGAAAAGAAGGGTTACTTTGAGGATCGCCGCCCATCTGCCAACTGCGACCCCTATGCGGTCACGGAGGCCCTGATTCGCACATGTTTGCTAGATGAAGAGGGTGATGAACCTGTGGACTACTAAATCTCTTCTCCTGGACTGAACTTCCCTCCCCTTATTGCCATACTTTCCTATTTTCTTTTTTTTTTTCTTTTTTTAAATGGCCATAAAGCCAAATTAGTACTGTATCTTGTTTTCTATCAGGGTGGTTCTAACCTGGCATTTTAATATCGTTGAAGTTGACTGGTCAACTTAACATTTTAAGATTAAATCTGAAGCTAACCTGATCTGACTGGGGACACCGTATTGCAGGGCATGTCTTTACCCTGTTTTTATTTTTTTTTTTTTCTGATTTTAATTGTTTCTTATGGAATGGATGTTTAACGTTAGCATTGAAATCTCTCTATGATCCCATGACTCTACCTTTTGGTAGTTGAGATGGACTGAAACACGAGTCAAGTGCACAGAAGAACCTGGGGCTGCCAAGGCCCCAAAAATTTTTTTTTTTTTTTTTTTTTTTAACCAATAGCTAGTTGTTGCGGATGTTGACTTGATTCAAGTATGTAATGTTTCAATGAGTCTTACTAACAGTGTATTAAATGGCAAATTTTGGTATCCATTTTGACTACACACTACGCTGTTCTTGTGCGGTACACTTCACAGTCGAGGTCCAATAACTATCCTGTTTTTATACTTGTTGATCTGTTATTTGTCATGTTGTCTACTACTATGATGTAACTGCACCTGTTTTGTTAAAAACCTGAAGTTGCTTAAAAAAAAAATCAAACATTTATTTTTACCACAAACTTATCTTGTGTGCTTCTTTACATTGGTGACATCTTGCTTGTGTAATTCCTGATTTGACGTGCTATTTTGGCATTACATGATCCCTAAATTGTTTTGAAAACACAGGGCAAGATGCGTATACTTGGACAAAACGATATATATATATATGAAAAAAAAAAAAAACTAGATGGATTCCAACTTGAGGTTCACCGCCCAAGAATACAATCCACACTTAGACCTAATTAATTAAACCCAAATTTTAATTTTTAAAAAGTAAGGATTGATTAGCATATTTTCATTCCCACTGACATATGTTCTTGTTTTACACACAAACTAGCTTAATTTTGCTCAATATTACAGAAAACGATACTTTATTCATTTTGCATCTTGCATGCCATGACTGAATTTTAGACTTCTGCTTCAGTTTAGGAGCTCCTAAGGCTCTGTGGTAGGGCAAATTAAGACTTAAAACTAGGGCTGTGCGATTCGGGGGAAAATATCAAATTGCGATTTGATTTTTTATTTTTTTTTGACAGATACTGCGATTGTGATTTGATTTGCGATTTAAAATTTGCAAAGTCAAGCTTCAGCTCAATATTGCCAATAATGTGCAGCACAGTATGGGTATCATTACCCTGCTGAAAAAAAACAATATAAACTATCACAGAAATTCTTATAGTTTCCATTAAACCATTACAAAATTCCTTTTTGTTTTGGGCATTATTCCAATAGGAATTACTGTTGTTCTATTGGTTGCCATCT